GCCACGTATGCCCCTGCCAAACCCACCTTTGCTGTATGTGTGAGTGGTGGACACATTCTCAATGCCTTTCTGCCCGGTGACACCACCTTTCCTCAACTCTGGGTGGTGACAGTACCCATCAACACTCAGGCAGCCATTTGATGTCAGATATGATTTTCAAGGTCAAAGCAAGACTTTCAAGTAGTGTGAGCACGTGTCCATTGTCTGTCTTGCTCATAGACCAGGAAACCAGCAGATGGGAGCCCCTGAGGATCCTCTTTACAGGCCCAAGCAGGCAGGGCTGCAGGAGTGGGACTGCTGCGGCGTTCCAGGGTAGCAAGACCAGCCTTTCCCTGGGACAGAACCTCTGTGCGTGGTTCCCACAACCACTCACAGTGTGGGGGAAGAGGCTACTCCATGGCGCGCAGCATCGGTGAAGCCACCTCCAAGGCCGCTGGGGACAGGCAAGGAGGCCTTGCCCTGCCTCCGGGTCTGGAACGAAGCTACTCTACCTGTGGACTGTGGGCTTCACTGGCACTGTTTCCTGGGCAGGTGCCGCAGGGGCCTCTCTCTCCTAGAGAGCCTCTGACCCCGGGGGGGGGGGGGTGGCTACTCTGTCCTGGTAGCCTCCCCACCTTAGCACTCCCCTGTCGGTTGGGTATCTGAGAGCCAGAGGCCAGACAGGTCATTCTGTGGCAGGAACACGAGGGGGCCTGGTTTGGCCTTAGCCCGATTCTCGACTGCCTGTGGCCGTCCCCACAGTCGTGGGTCTGTACATGGGTCTGGATTTGGAAGACAGCTGACCTCGGGTCATGTCATATACTGCGGGCCCCTGCTCCCATCAGACCTGCAGCTCCTTCTCCTCCTCCTTCACGGGACGGGTGGGTTTGACCTGTCCCGTGCCTGCTCCTGCCAACGGCTTCTCACAGATTAGAACAACAGCCCTGGTCACAGACCTGTCTCCTCCTCCAGGTTTCTCTACAGATATCACCACCCTGTCCTGAGAGCCCTGTCCCCAGCCCAGGTCTGTTTTACTAAGAACCAGAATCCAGGGTTCTGAAGGGTCCGCTGGGCTGCTGCATGGTGTTAAAAGAGATCTCTTTCTTGCCCTGTACTACATCCTGCTCTCCCAAGAGGCCCGTTGCTAGGGCTGCCTCTGGGAGGGGCTGTGCCAGCCCAGGGGGCAGTGAGGAAGGAGGGCTCTGGTCTGGCTGCAACCGCTCAGTCCTCCTGGTCCTGGTGAAGGGTCTGGTGAGCTCCTGGCTGCTGTTTAATCAGCCCGGCCTGGGAGCCCCACCCAGGTCTTGGCTGACACATTCCCTGGTCATTGTCCACTGGCTAAAAAGAAAGCTCTGTGCTCCAGTCCTGCAGCCATAGCCTACCTGTAGCCCCTGCCTCAGGAGGCCTGTGGGGAAGGCCCAGCCCATCTGCCCAGAGACATGGAGTGACCTTTGAGCTGTGACCAAGGGCCACCAAGGGACACAGGGTCAGGTGTCTTGAGTCAGCCAGGTGTCATCCAGAATGGTGGCCTCGGGTGGTGAGCAGCCCCTCGGGAGACAGGGAGAGGGGTCTGGATCTGACGCCGGCAGACTTGCATTGGATGGGAGAATCTGTCCCTTGTGCTTCTAGACTCTCAGCGAGGCCAGGTCCGGGCACTGTCATGAGGAAGGCTCTGTCCCCCCTGGAGTCCAGGGACACAGTCTGTGCATCAGGACCCAAGCCAGCCCTGGTGAGGCTCACCCGCCAGAGGCACATCGACATCTCAGATAGGAATGTTCTCTAATGGGCATGAACCAGCTAGGACTAGGTAGAGGAAGAAGCCCAAGCAGACTCCTGGTGCCTGCTGTGCAGACAGTACTCGCCACATTGTCAGGGCTCCCCATTGCCATGACAGGAACACCATGTCAGACCAGATGAGCCTGGGGGTTCTGAATGCTGATTGATGGTCAATAAAATATTTAGGTTTATGCTTTCAGGCAGACAGTCGGGATGGTGCTTGCGCTCACACTGAGTAAAAATCAGAATGATCTTGAGAACGTAAGATCCAGCACATGTGTATAGGTTAACAAAGACAGACACATTAGATGCAATTGGATGTATTAGGGGTTCCACTCCTTCACACAGTGTCCTCTGCATGGCTAGGGGCAGGCACAGCAGTGAGCAGGCTGTAGAGGGAGGAGAGGCTCAAGCCACAGAGAAGTGAATTGCAGGGCTGCTGAAGGCCAGAGGCACAGGCACAAGTACCGGAGAAGAGAAGTAACTGGGGGGTAAACCACTTCTCTATGGACCCCCCTGTGGTCCTCAGCTTTGCAACACTGTGACAAAATACCTGACCCAGTCAACTTAAAAGGAAGACAGGTTTATTTTGGCTCAGGGTTCAGAGGTTTCAGTCCATGGTCCCTGGGCTCTGCAGCCTTTGAGGAAGCACATCGTGGCAGGCATGGGGGAGAGCTGCTCACCTCATGGTAGTGCAGAAGCAGAGAGAGGAGGGGCCAGGGTACCAGGGCCCTTCCAAAGCAGCCCTGTCTCCTACTTCCTCCCACCAGGGCCCAACTCCTAAAGATTCTACCACCTCCCAGTAGTGACATGGGCTGGGGACTGAGCTGTCAATGTGTGGCCATTCCAGATCCAAACCCTAGCAGCCTTGTTCTGGACTTTTGATATCCTTAGTCTCACAGCAGGTGGCTGTTTGTGTCTGGCTTGTTTCATTCAGGACTGTGGTGTGGTGTGACAGAAGCTGCTTCCTTGTCCTGGCCGAGTAATACTCCATGTGTGTGCACACACCACATTTTCCTTGCCCATTTATCTGTTGATGGACATTTGAGTTGTTTCTACCTGTTACCAATTGTAAAAAATGCTGGTGTTCAATTCTTTTGGATATATACTCAGGAATGGAATTGCTGGGTTATATGATAATTGACATTTTGAAGGACAACCGGCCTGTTCTCCACTGCGGCTTTCACACCCCGAGCAGCAGTGCCAGGGCTCCTGGTTCTCCAGGTGCTTGTCAGTGCTCATCACTGCTTCTGTTATTGGTGTCCTGCTGGTGCAAGATAGTAACAGGCTCACTGTACCACTGAGCCATATCCCCACATCCCCTCTTTATTTTAATACAGGTCTTGCTAAATTTCCATGCTGGCCTCTAACTTGCAATCCTCCTGCTTTAGCCTCCTGAGTAGCTAGGATTACAGGTGGGTGCCAGCACACCACCATGTCTGGCTCAGACTGGTTGTGGTTTGCATTTCCCTAAAAATTAATGAGTGAGTATGTGTGCACACGTGTTTGTGTATGTGTGTTGCTGGGGATGGAGCCCAGGGCCTTATGTAGACTAGGTGAGCATTCTGCCACTGAGCTACACACCAGCCCTTTTTGCTGGCTTGGAGATTGAGTTGAGCTGTTTGTCCTGCTGGTGTGTGGTAAGAGTTGTTTTTGTTTGTTTGTTTGTTTTACCAGGAATTGAACCCAGTGGCACTTAACCACTGAGCCATATCCCCCTAATAAGACTCAATTTAGGGCTGGGGCTGTAGCTCAGGGGCAGAGCATTTGCCTAGCATGTGTGAGGCACTGGGTTCTATCCTCAGCACCACATTAAAAAAAAATAAATAAAGGCATGCTGTTCATCTAAACTATAAAAATTTTTTAAAAGACTCAGTTTATTTATATATAAAATGGAGTTAATTACTCTTTTCATAGTCATTGAATAAAGTTAAATTATGTATAAGTAGGTCCCAATATCAAGGCTACCTCATGGTAGGAACACTTTTTGTTGGTGGGGGGGTACCAGGGATTGAACTCAGAGGTGCTTAACCACTGAGCCACATCTTCAGCTCTATATTTTTTTAAATAGAGAGAAAGATAATTTTTTTAATATTCATTTTTTAGTTTTCGGTGCACACAACATCTCTATTTTACTTTTCTGTGGTGCTGAGGATCGAACCCAGCGCCTCACGTATGCCAGGCGAGCGCACTATCACTTGAGCCACATCCCCAGCCTTTCAGCTCTACTTTGTAGTTTATAGAGAGACAAATTCTCACTGAGTTGCTTAGGGCTTTGCTTTTGGTGAGGCTACCTTTGAACTCGCAATCCTCCTGCCTCAGCCTCCCAAGCCACTGGGATTACAGGCCTGTGCCACTATGCCCACCCAGCCCTTTTTAATATTTTATTTAGAGACAGGGTCTCGTTGAGTTGCTTAGTGCCTTGCTAAATTGCTGAGATTGGTTTTGAACTCGTGATCCTCCTGCCTCAGCCTCCTAAGCCACTGGGATTATAGCTGTGTACCACTACACCCAGCTGTAAGAGCTCTTTATATATCCTGGATAGTGGACTCTTAGATAAATGATTTGAAACATTTCATCCCAGACTATGGGTTGTCTTTTAACTTTCTTTTTTTTTGTCTTTTAACTTTTTTGATAGTGTCCGTGAATTTATTTTTGTACAAAATAAGATACATTTCTTTTTTTAAATTTTTAATATTCATTTTTCAGTTTTTGGCGGACACAACATCTTTGTTTGTATGTGGTGCTGAGGATCGAACCCGGGCCGCACGCACGCCAGGTGAGCGTGCTACCGCGTGAGCCACATCCCCAGCCCCAAGATACATTTCTTTCACTAAGAAATAATCTGAACAAATATTGTCCTAAACCAATGGTTATCTCTGGGTAATTTGGATTTTCCCTATCTTATGATTTTTTTCCAGATTAATCATGGTGAAAATTTCCAAGCTAACTAATTTGTAAACTGGTAAATGGAAAGTGAAAGTTATCAGTCATTAGTTCATGTGACTACGACTCTTGTGCATCTTGTAGGCAGACTGAGTGCTGGACATTTACGAGCTTCTGAATGCACATCCTGGCGGAGCCTTGGGAGGCAGCCGTTGAGAGCCAGGCCCTCCAGAGTATCTCCCTGTCATTCTGTCATTCTGTCTTGTTTCTCCACTCACGCTGGGGCACGCACTGGGAAAAGGAAACCGAAACTGAAGGCCACCAGCCACTGGTGCGGGCTGTGGGAGGCACCGCCCTCTGACGTGTGTAGCTTAGACTCATAAATGGGCCGTGGAGCAGCTAGAGGGGAGAGGAAGCCAACTCCTGAGCACTTGAGGTGGACCGAGCACTGGAGACCAGGGCCATGGTGGGTCAGCTGGGCTACTCCAGCCCACTTTCCTCCCTCCCCTTGCTGGGGTCTCCCAGCAGCAGAGCACCCACTGCCAAGCCCTGAGCTTGGCCGGGTTCCCAAGTGTGAGGAGAGGGGATGGGCCCACGGGGGGACACAGAGGGTGATGGGAGGAACGTGGAGGCTGTGGGAGACTGGCCTTCCTGCGCCTAGTGGGTGGAGGAGGCAGCCAGCAGAGAACAGCACCCAGGATCTGTGGCCAGTGTGGGAGCCCAACCTCTGTGATGCCCGCAGGGCTGGAACCTGAAGGTGAAGATGCTGGGGGGCGAGGAGCACCAGGTGTCCCTGAGTGACTCCACGATGCTGTCGGAACTGAAGCAGCAGATTTTCCAGAAGACTGGCGTGCCTGCCTTCCAGCAGCACTTGGCCCTGCCCAGTGGCTCCGTGCTGCAGGACAGGGTCCCTCTCATCAGCCAGGGCTTGGCCTCTGGCAGCACAGTCCTGCTGATGGTGCAGAACTGTGACAGCCCCCTGAGCATCCTGGTGAGGAACGACAAGGGCCGCACCAGACCCTACAGCATCAGGCTGACGCAGAAGGTGGCGGAGCTCAAGCGGCAGGTTTGCCAGCAGGAGCACATCCAGGAAGATCTGTTCTGGCTGAGCTTCGAGGGGAGGCCCATGGAAGATTCGCAGCTGCTGGGGGAGTATGGACTCACCCCTCAGAGCACTGTGTTTCTGAACCTGCGCCTCCGCGGGGGCGGGGCCTAGAAGAAGAGAGGAGCCCCAACGAGGATCAAGTGCTAGGAATAAAGATGATGTAAAGGACAAACTGCCTTCTGTCTGTCTGCCTGATCTCCCCCTCTCTCTGCTGATGAATTAGGAGGGACGAGGTTTGAGAGAGAACCAGGCCTGGGCGACAGGCCCGGGCTAGAAGTCAAGGGGCCAGGTGTCACAGAGCCTAGTGGTCTCCACCGTGACTCTTCTCCCAGAAATTGAAGGGAGACATACTTCCACACCTCTTGGGGTCAAGGGGTCATATCTAAAGAATGATAAAGAGACACATTTGCTGGGGCTGCCTGGCCAGGCTGAGCCACAGACTCACAATGGCTCCACTTTCACATTTGGGTGGGCAGAATTAGGGAGGAACAGGTCAGGCCAGGCCAGGTTCCACAGGCCACAGTGTGTGGCTCCCTGGGATCAGCCCCTCCCAAAGCCCTGGAAGCAGTGAGGGTGGGTCCTTAGACCTGTGGGTGGGAGGGCAAGGGAGCCTCTTGCACAACACTGGGGGCTGCAACCTGCCCACCTGCTTTGTCCTGCCTGCAGTAAGGTGGGGACAGATGAAGGGGGCATGTGTATCCTCCAGAGCCTAATGAAGAGGCCAAGTGCAGCAGGCCGGGAACTGGTGGTTCACCCTGTCCACCAGGAGAGCATGTCCCAGACCTTCCCGGATGGGCCAATTCACTCCCTTCTTCTGGAAATGCTTCTTTCAGTCTTTTTCTCCTGTACCAATTTACCCAGTGAGTTCCACAGGAGCCAGGCCGGGCACCTGGGCTCCGGGTACGGTGGGAAGAATGTGCCCCTCCCTGGTCCCTGGACCACTACCTTGGGGGCACTTGGACCTTAGCTTTCAAATGCCTCAGGATGATCTGGCTGGAGGCCCAGAAGACCACTTTTGGGTGCCTGGGATGCAGATCTAAGACCGCCCAGGTCCCCCTTTTGCCATGCTGCAACAGAGCAAGTGTAAGTACAGATCCTTGGAGTCACTTTCTCCCGGAATCCCCCCCAGGGCCAAAGTGGGCTGGGGTCCTCCTCTGGGGGAGTGTCTACCACCCACCACTCAATGCCTCTGGCTCAGAAACCTGTGCCTCGCACACGGCAGATCCAGTTCTAAGAGGACAGAACGGTGTCCTTTCCCTCCATCTTCAGCTCGGCCGGGCTCTAGCTTGGACTCTCTGAGCCTCACCTACCCAGGATAAGCTGCAGAGAGCGGCCCGGAGCGGCGAGGGGGTGTGTCTGGCGCCCAGACCGGACCACCAGCCGATGGACAGCAGGGGGCGCCCTGCTCCCTCGCGGCCAGGCCGCGATGCCCGGGCGGGAGGTGGGCGGGTCTGCGCGCCGCTTCCGTCAGTCACCGCCCGCACCGGTCCGCCGTTGGGGGGCACGGCCTGCTGGGGACGCCCCCGCGCCCTAGTGAGCAAGAGTCTGGACCCCGAAAGCTCGGGCGCGGACCCCAGCTGGAGGGACCACTCCCCCGCCGGGGGAGGGGCAGGCCAGAGGGCCGAGGGGCCGCGGGTCCGGACTCCAGCAGCCTCTCTTTCGGCCCTGTCGTCTCCGCGAACCCCTTGGAAGTCCAGTCACGTCGCCTCTAGATTATGCATTAACCCGACTTCAGCCGCATTTCCTGGGGGGGACGTCCGCGCAGGCGGGGGAGGGGCGTCCGCAGGGGTGAAGCACAGCAGAAAGCCCTGGGCCCGCCCTGCCCCGCCCCGCCCCCGGCCCGCCTCTGTCCCCGGACGGTCTCACCGCCACCCGGCGCGACGTAGCGCCCCCACCCCCGGCCTCCGCCCGGCGCCGCTGTCCCGGTGCTTTGTTCGCGGCCGGCGCGGGTCGCAGGGCGCCGGGCGGGCGGGGCGGGCCCCCGTGGGGGAGGGGCAGCGCTGCCCGGCCCCGCCCCCGCCCCGCCCCCGCGCCGCCCGCGCTCCAGCCGCCTCCCGGGGCTGCGTCCCGTCCTGTCCAGTCCGGTCCCCGGCGCGGCCCGGCCCGCGCGCTCTCCCGGCCGCCTTCCGCCGTCCTCGGCTGCGCCATGGCCAGCCTGCGGCCGTCCGGCCCGGCTCCGATGCGGCCACTGCTGCTGCTCTTGGTGGTGGCCGCGCACACCCTGCCCATCGCCGGCGGGACGTGCCCGGAGCGCGCGCTGGAGCGGCGCGAGGAGGAGGCGAACGTGGTGCTCACCGGCACGGTGGAGGAGATCCTCAACGTGGACCCGGTGCAGCACACGTACTCTTGCAAGGTGGGCCCCGCCGGGACCCCAGCCCCGGGAGGCCCGGGCCGGGGCCTCTTCCCCGCGATGCCGCCCCAAGGCCCTCCCCTCGCTTGCCGGCCGCGCTGCTGGGACCCCTATCCCAGGCCGTGGGAATGATCCCGGACGCTCCGCAGCCCCCGCTCGCGCTCCCTTGGCGACCGCCAAGCCTCCGGGTGGGGCGCCTGGTCCCGGAAAACTCTGGAGCGACCGGGAAAGTTCCTGCGGTGTTGCTGCGGTACCGCCCGTGGTGCCCAGGCCGGGCAACCGGGTGTTGGCTTCCCCTCCGCCCAAAGCCCTTTCCCTTATCGAAAACAAGTGCACCTCCCCCCAGGGAGGGTGGGGGCTGCCGCGCCCCCTCCCCACCAGCCAAAGAAAAGGGGTAGGGTCGGGGAGGTGACGCTCTTTGCCTGGGGTGTGCACGGGAGCTCTACCTGTGATCAGTGCTGTTTCCCCCTTCTCAGAGGCGGATATACCAGTGCTAAAGGGGGTGCCGGGAGAAAGAGGGGCACAGCCTAATTTCCTATCGTAGGGAGACTGCTGAGGGGTGCTGCGGCCACGGTTGTGGGGGGCTGGGGCAGGGAGTGGGCGGGGCCGCTGCTGAACCTCGCGTGCCTGGGCCCAGTGGGGGAAGGGGAGCAGGGGCAGGTGCTCTATCCCGCTCCCGGGAATGCTGGAGCTCCCCTGGCCAGAGGGAGGGGAATCTGGTCCCACTTCTCCTTCAGCTGGATCTGGGAGCTCCTGGAGGAGGTATGGGGGGTTTCCTCCACAATCTTCCAGGGAGGGCCCTGGGGACCCAAGGTTGGTCCTCCCTCCGGCCCCCCAGACTACCTCACTGGACCAGAAATGGATCATTCTTGTTCCATGGAGCTGGGGAGGGTTGCGGCTGGTTTCAGAGTGGTCTGTGCGGGCTACAGCTGGGGTCCCCCCCCACCGAGCCCCTCCCCTCACCGCTGGGCACTTTGCCAAGCCCCTGCAGGATTTTCCCGACTTCCTCCCCTGCTCCTGGGTGTGGCTGGGGTGGGGGGAGGCGCTCAAAGCCAACAGGCCCTCTCCTGCCTGGGTTCGCTCCTCTGGAGCCTGCGGGATGTGTGGAGGTTAGATGAGGCTGGACCAGCTGATGGAGGGGTCCCTGCAGACTCTGCAGTTCTGAGCTGGCAGGTGGAAAGGCGTCCCATTGTCTTTCACTCCCATTCCAAGAGCCCTGGCCCCCAACAGCTCTTGAAGGAAGAAGGGGCCTCTTCCCAGAACTCCATTCGCAGGGAGTAAAAGGATCTGTGGACCTGTTATGTGGGCTGCCTTGGGTGGGGGCTGTAGCGGTCCCTCCTGCCATAGTGTCAGAGTAGATGCCCTCAGGGTCCCAGGAGGAGAGGTGTAGGGTGGGGCTGCCTAAAGCTGCCCGAACTTGACTTTGTGGCTCATGGCTACCTTGGCTGCCCTGACGCTGGAACTGGAGGAGGGGGCCTTCATTTCCTGGAAGGAAGGTGTCAGCCCACCCACAGGGGTGTGAAGATCCTGGCTGGCCGCTTGCCCCCAAACCCCCCTCCATCCCTGTGTCCCAGTCCTGGCTTTGCCCAGAGTGTGAGCAAGTGGTGGTAGGCAGGGGGGGTAGAAAAGGAAGGGTGGAGGAGGCAGGCACTCCAGACCAGGTGGGCCCCTCCCCAAATCCAGCTTGAGCTGAGGTGGACATTTTGGAGTTGGGGTGCTGATCTTGGTTAGACCTGGAATAGGAGCTAATTCCTGGGGTGGGCCTGTGTTCATGAGACATCTTATCACATGAAGAGGTCCCATGTCCTCACGTGACATAGGGGGGCAGCACCACCCCAGCACTGTGTATATTTACCTGTAGCCTCTGCCCAGGCCTGGTGTCTACTGTGGGCATTCGACCTGAGCAGCTGAGGTCGGAGCCGGAAGGGCCCAGGCCATTGTCTGGTATCCTTCCCCCAGGAGGAAGAGGACCATTAACACCTGCCCCTGTGTCTACCCAGGTTCGAGTCTGGCGGTACTTGAAGGGCAAAGATGTGGTGTCCCAGGAGAGCCTTCTGGATGGTGGCAACAAGGTGGTCATTGGTGGCTTCGGAGACCCCCTCATCTGTGACAACCAGGTGTCTACCGGGGACACCAGGATCTTCTTTGTGAACCCAGCACCCCCCTACCTGTGGCCAGCCCATAAGAATGAGCTGATGCTCAACTCTAGCCTCATGCGGATCACCCTTCGCAACCTGGAGGAGGTGGAGTTTTGTGTAGAAGGTGCGTGGGGTGGGTGCGTGCAGGGATCCAGTGGGGTGGGCAGAGGGCTGCCAGGTATGTGTGAAAGGTGGGCTTGGAGGTGAGTGGCAGAGCGTTGGGCCCAGGGAGAGTGAAGAGGGGTTTACTTGCAGCTGGAACACATACTGTCTTGCTGTCTGGCTGTGTTCCCACCTCATTCCTACTTTGCTGCTCCCTGGCCGCATTTCTAGTCATCCAGCCATCAGAGCCCAAGGAACAGAAGCAAGCCCTGCAAAGGGACTGGCTTCCTCTGCTTCCTCGCCCCTTCCCCCTTGGAGGGCTCTTTCCCAGGGGAGGAGCTGGGGCCAGGTGAATGAACGGACACCAGCTGTCATGCTCTGGCAGAAGCCCCATGTCTGCCTAGACTGGGTGCACACATTTGAGCAAAGCCCTGGTGGCCAGGCTTAGGGGTTGGAGGTTGGGGGCCTATCCTGTGTGTCCAGAGGCCCACGGTTTCTGGGAAGAGCTGCTGTGTGGGATGAGTGCTTCTGGGGACTAGACAGGTTAGTGCCTCTGGGAAGTGACCTGTCACATGAGAGGCC